TTTTTTTTTTTTTTTTTTTTTTTTTGGTACCAGGGATCGAACTTGGGTCCTTGTGCTTGCGAGGCAGGCGGCTGCACCACTGAGCTAAATCCCCAGCCCAGAGCAAGATATTTTAATTCGTAGGCAAATCAGAAGATAAATACAGAGACAAATGGCAGCAAAACCAACTCTAATGATGAAATTGATTGCCCTAGCAAAACTTCAGACTTGGGCCAGGGATGTAGCTCAGTGGCACCGTGCCTGCCTTGCAAGCACAAGGTCCTGAGTTCAATCTCTGGAAACAAAACAAACCAACCAAAAAATAAATAAAATAAAAAGTCAGACTCTGGGTAACAGATAGCAATAAACTAGATGAACTACCTCAAACTCAAGTGAGCCACTGTGCTCTCTCTCTCACAGTGGTTCACCCTCACCCTACAGAGTGTACTTCTTTTCCTACTTTTATTCGGCACAAACTCTACCTACGGAATATGTTTCTTTTGTTTTCCTACCTTTAATAAATGTAAAACAGCATTACCTTAAATAATATGTTGCATACAAGACACACCTAGTGCAAAAAGAGGCCCATGGACTGAAAGTGAAAGGACGGAAAACTTCATGCAACAGGAGCCCAGAAAATAGCAGGGGGAGCAATCTTATTCACAGACAAAGTAAATTACAAACCTAAACTGATTAAAAGAGACAAAGAAGGCCACTACATCCTTATGAAGGGAACAATTCAAGAGGAAGAGATAATAAATAATTCATTTTCAATCTATTGAGTATGTTAGAAAATATATGCGCTCCTTTTCTCTTTTCTTTTTTCTTTTTTTTATTTTCTTTCCCTGGTGCTGGGGATTAAACTCAGCACATTGCTCTGGCTAGGCAGGTACAGCACTACTGAGCTAAATATCAGACTTTACATTTTATATTTTTAAAATTTATCAACACATTAATCTTTGTCTTTATATGTTGGTCTACCAAATTGATGAGTTATTTTGGTTCTCATTTTCTTTGCTTTTTTATTTGAGAATTTATGAAATCTGTATATATGAGTAGCATGAAAAGTATTAAGGTCCATCCGTCATTCTCCTCTCTCATTTCTGCCTTCTGCAAACTTCCTTTTCTGTCACTACAGCTTGTTTCGCTGGAAATTTGTTAAGACAAATTTTGTTATGTTATCAATATATCTTTGAACCTATTTTCTACTGATAATGAATATTAATTTTTAAGTAAATTTTATCATAACTACACTTAAATAAATGGATAATAAATAATTAATATCATTCACTATCTGCTATATATTACAAATTCTCCAACTACCTCAAAGATGATATTTGTTTTTCTCAAATCATACAAATCACAAACATTCCACACATCACTGCACTGTTTTATTATACCAAAGTATATACTGTATTGTAGAAAATATGCATTGTGTATATGTGTGGGGGGTGTTTTTACACATATGTGTGCATTATTTAATGAGAAACATGGTCATGAATGTGGTAGGATTTTGCACATTTGG